GATTAAGGCCCACTAAGATGCAAGATATTTCCCATTCTAAGGTTTTTACATTACCTTATGGCTGATTAGAAAGAATTCTCTCATTTCTTGGAGAGTTTCAATGCTATCTAGTGCCATGTTCCAAGCTAACAYGGTAAATCAAATATATAAGTTAGATGTTTTTTAACACATACTSTTGTTGTTGCTGTTTTAGTATAATCATATTGATTAGGCCATCTTAACGAAATCGAAAGCTTCATCAGCAGTAGAAAACTGATCAAACATTCATGTCTGCTTTGGKGATAAGTTCAAGAATTAGTCTTTCTCGGAAAAACACAMCCGCTGCCTTGCGAAAGAACCTTATAATTAAAGGGAAGAAATGACCCGCATACTCACCAATTTTCATGAACCACATTGCCTCTATATGTATATCTTCTCCTACACAAGACATGTTATTTATGCTGTCCAATGCTGGAATTAACAGGGATGAAAACTTGTGAAACAGTCCTTGTTAGCATGCATATGCCCGGTTCATGGTGAGTTAGTACGTCAATGATTGGACATATATGCACAGCAAAAAATGGAAAATTTCATAGTAAACTGCAATGTTTTTTCATTTGATCAAATGCTCCATATTGTCTTTTACTCTGTTTATAATTTGCCGCATTCTACTGTATACGAAATGCTATGTACGTGGACCAGACGTGTTTGTTGAAGATAGTAATGCAACATGTTTTAAAAGATGTGGTGGCACTCAAACATTCTCATAGTTTACCCAAACAATTCATCTTGCGCATGTATCATTACCTGTTTGCAAATAGGACTGAATGGAGCCAAGGTCTCTCCTATATTGGTAAAATTGATAACCGATAATTAAAAGCTRTAGATCTGATGAAATTGAATATTTAGGGACAGACCTGTTTTCATTTTCGCCTAGCGTCAACTTGAGGCGGATAAGGCATCTGAAAATAATGTAAAGAAATAAGCGAAAGTTTTTAATTTTTAATAAATGTTCACTACTGACCTTAATGCAGTGATAATTTGCTTTGAACTTGACGACGTCTTAACAAGGCTTTCTAAGGCTCTTATYCCAACTTCACGATTGTTTTGCTGAAGTACATGTAAAAACGGAAAAAAAGAGCAAATACAACTCTCCGCTTTGTCTGTACACTTTTGGTAAACAACTTTTAATATTTTACACGAAATTATATGATAAATAATATTTATTATAAGAAAGTTGATTTCTACATATCAAAGAATTGTATGTCATTCGTGCGGGTTCCCTGTGCTTTTTAGTTTTGGGCTTCCTTTAACGAATCCATACCATATATGGAAACAAACAAAATGGCCGATAGTTGAAAAGAGTTTTCGCTATATTATCTGCAAGTTTAAGACGATTTCAAGCTTAAGTCAAGAAAATCGACAAAAACCATTCCTATCGTACTTCCAAATAATGTAAGATTATAATATATGGCTGCTAAACGAATGACAACTTTTGTGGGGCAATTCTTTGATATGATATTACAATTTCACAAGATACCATTTAGTTAGCTCTGATTGCTATTAATTTTCCAAAATGCCCAATTCCGCATATGAGAAACTCTTAAAAGATTTTCGGATGCAGTCCTCGTATCTCACCTCAAGCGATAGCTGTGCTGCCAGGCAGACAAGTGCGTGCACATCATCAGCCGAGTCGACTGTCACGCAATTGTTTTGAGGCTTTTTYCCGATGTCTTTCATTTTGCCAATTGTCTGTATAGCTGAAAATAATAAAAAACAGTTTGACAAAATCATGAAAAGAAAGTCTACTATGTACCAAATAATGACACATTCAGAACACGCACACTTCCGATTTTTTTTTTTGTCCTTCTCTTTCAACCGTATCTAAAACGTTACTTGAAACAAATATCAAATGGAAAGATTGGATAAGTTTTATAAAAGTTGTTGGTGAGGGAGCAAATGTTATCAATGATGTATCCTATGCATTAGTAAAAACARCTACTTACCAAGTTCATCATCACCCTCCATCAAAGCAATTTTGAACTGATAGAAGTGAGTGAGTGGTGAGTCAGGATCAATTGTAACAGACTCTGCCGCTACCTCTCGTGCCTAAAAATGATACGAGGAAACATATTTAGAACTGTTTTTCGTAAACCATTGAAGCAAAGTCCAATGTTCAAAGTTTAAAAATGAATCATGGATCCACCGAGCAGATAAAAAAATGTATGTAATATTGAGTAATAAATTGAGGTTATTGAATGCGTGCGCGGAAATGCGAATTCATCTTTGAGAAGCGTATGAGACATCAATTGTAAACGACAAAATAACGTAATCTTCTATTGATTATATAAGCTTTAATTTACACATATCTATAAGGAAAGAAATAGCCCAATGCATACAGGGTATCAACGAGATTACCATGGTATCGCAGTCATTAAATGTTTATGCAATAAGCGCTGTACATTAAAATGTGTATTTCTCGAGCTTATAGACATCACTCTACTTCCGATGTATTATATCAATTTATTTGAATTTTGATTATTACAGTAACTACGTTCGTTAATTTTGAGTGAAGGTCCCTTTTTGGAGGGGGTGGGGTGGGGGGCAAATGGTGATCATCACATTATATGACGAAAATGAGAGTGTGGTTGGTTTTTAAGACGTCATTTACCTTGGAATATTCTTCTAGCATAATCAGACATGAGCACTTATTTCTCTGTTAAAAAATTCAATATATGTATATATCATTTTCATCTTCAGAAATAAACCCTGAATTATGAAATCTAAAACGCAATATAAAATTTTATATGTTGGTGAATGCTTGTTTTAGTGAACAAACTTTTAAAAAATGGACCTTAAMACATTTTATTGACCCACAATATTTCAAAAAGGAAATATCATAATTGGCGCTTTTGACTAGCGGAGGAATATTGAAAACARACAAAGAGTAACGTAGCCAATCAGAACTAAGGGTTTGCAATAGCTCACTGGTATGGTAACACTAACAAAAGATAATTCTATGTGACAGTGTTCAAACGGCATACTTCAAAAATATGAGGACTTTCAAGTCCGAGTAATAATTAAGTATCGATCTTTTGATGTCCAGACCACTCCTAATGCTTGATTTACTCAGTGAGGGCCTGCAAACGTTTTGAGAATCACAAAATGTAGGAAAGTGCAAAAGATTATCCTTTTTTATGAAATACTGCGGCATTTAATTGCACTTCCTAGACAAGTAAGTATTATCATGCAGCCCACTTGGTATATATATTTATATTCATYGGTCATTACCAGCAGTTTTGCCAAATTCTTGTTGCCATCTTTTTCCTCAGAAGTGAAAAGACTTAATGAGTAATTATACCAAGCGAGCGCCTCTTGGAAATCTTTGCCCTGWAAATTAAAGTATAGAATTCACTCATTAATGATTCGTGGACTATTCTGACTACGACCTACGGCTCTTCTAAAAAAAAAATGTAAATTTAGTTTAGGCGAAGGATGGAAACCGTCAACCCGAAAAAAACCTCTAAGGACACAGCATTGGATGTTCTTATTCCTTGGGTAACTTGTCATCCTACATACAAATGGACTCTTAATGCTGAATGTTATTGCACATACATCGTAAAATGCAGCAGCTTTTTCCCAAAGAAGAATATGAAACATCTTTCGCGTTTCTTCATCAAGAGGTCTTCCAGTATTATGCCCTACAATAAGATAATGAAGACTTCATAGATACAAATACACCAAGGAAAGAAGGGTAAAAATCTGGAAAAGTCAGTGATTACTACTCATACATGTAGATGATAACTATACTGGACGGACCATAAGGTWCGAATAACAAAACAGTCTGTAAGARCAGCAACAGAATGTAAACTATAGCATAGAGCAGACAGTRAAAAAGAGTTACAAAATAAAAAAGAATCGTTTGACACCAACCACTGATGCAATCTTCAACAACCTCTTTAGCCTCTTGTGTTTGCTTTCCGTTTAGAAGTAGTTCCTGAATGTAAAAATTGTAAGTGTTAGAGTACAAACACCCGATATTGGAATCCAAACGTACCCAAGTTAATAATACAAACTTGCTTGAAAGCAACTGTCAATCGACAATTATGRTCAAGAAAACAATTTTAACCAAGATATGTTTAAACCAATCAGAATCAAAGAGAATCGAATTGCAAAATATATGATAAGCAATATCAATTGCATCGGTATAGATTATTGTTGATTCTAACGCCACCTTACCAAGTGAGAGAGCTGGATTTTAGCTAAATCTGGAGAATTTTGGAATCTGTTAGCAAGCAGCCGAAGACATTCAAAGGCACTGGCAGTTCTACACAAATTCAAAAACAAAACAATAATAAATAAAATTTTGCTTGAAAAMAAAACARATTTTCGAACCACACATATCTACTCTCTCCGACCAAAATCTGACCATTCAAAGATTATCACTTGTTTTTAGGGAAAGATTTTCGAAAGCAATTGAGTAAAATACAGACTCAGCTATTTTTTTAGTAATTCAATAGCTGAGAATTCAGCCAACATGCAGAATGCAAACCAATGAATAAACAAGCCATCCATCAATTTATAAGATTAAATGACTTACCTTTGATACTGGATAACAAGATTGACAATATTCAATCCCATTTGAACGTTTAAGTCAGGGTGACGCAGTGCTTCATCGAGAACTATTCAAAGATACACGAGAAAAACCCAAGTAATACCTTCAGTCAAGATTGTCAAAGAGACATGCAATTTTTTTTAAYATATTTTAAATCCGTTAAAACTTAGCGACAATAACGTTTTTTCTTTCAACTAAGCGCGCGCGAGACGTGATGGTGTGGCATATTTGTRGTGATACAAGTCTTCCTAATGTGATTTTTCCTGCGTTACAGTTTTCAAAAAAAGCAATAGCTCCATTATTAAGTTTTAATCGTGATATTCTTCGTTTTCACTGTGCGTCGTAGCGTCTATATTGCTGGAGCTTCAACAAAGATTTCTCACTGTTTATTCCTCCATTAAAAAACGCATACATAATTAATTCGCCTTCGGCTCGAATCTTTATACCTGATGCCTCTCTCTCGTGTTTTAAACTATAYATAAGGCCTCTTTTGTCACATAAATCTCATAAAAGCCAACTTGCACGTTACAGCTTTTCCTTTACAACCATCGCATGCAATCCGTAAACAGCACGTAAGCTTATACGATTCTAAGACATGTCTTAGATTGTAMGGCAATTTTGRCGCAATCACACCATATACGGCAATGTTTACAAAACTCTAGTGGGGAGGACAGTGGAAGATTTGTTTTTCAAAAAGGCCGACACAGATGTCAACGCCGTCAAAACATGCGAAAACGAGTAGAATGACGTAAAATTCACAGCGGAAGACACGGAAAAGCTGATATGTTTATGGGGAACAGAAGAGTATTGTTTTATTGCCGCAACAAAGATAATTTCAAGAAAAAATAAATAGCAAACGGGAAATATCGCACGCAAGCTTTTTGTGTCGTAAGATTAACAGCGTAACAGCTAAAACATATGTCGTAAGCAGGTTGCATAAAATGGTTGTAATGAAAAGTTGAACCGTGTAAGTTTGCCTTAAGAATGGTTAAAAATGATAAATTTGCCATTCCAGAATACTCAATTTTCGAATTAAAAGCCAAAACCTTTCCAAATACAAAAGAGAGCACGGGGAAATTTCTAACGTAAGGTAAGGTCTCTGCGTGAGAGAATCTGCTGACAAATAAAATAGCGGTTATTGCCTTTGAATTAAAACATGACGTATTGTATGTACGCTTTATCACTCTTGATATTAAAGATTTCATTTTACCTGGTTGAAGAGAGGATGTGGATGTATTGTCTATTAGTAATAGCTCCACTTTAAGGTAATGACCAGCAGGGTGAGGGTGTTCCTAGTTAAAAACACAGGGATTCACTGTAGATCATTTTRAAGACAACACTGCGGGCTCTGCGTTCTACATCATACATTCCTTTATAAACATTRATGCATTGATACATTCCTTTATAAACTTACAGAGTTTGCAAGGCCTGAAACAGAGAGATAATACAACAATTTTAGTGCTTTTCATGGATACTATAATTAAAAAACATTATTATTAGCGTTAGTTGTTGCCGAGAAATCCTGTCTTCATCATATACACTYACTTGTTTTTTTTATATTTTGATTAATGTATATCTTTTTTTATGGTCAGTTTCTTACTCAGGTTATCAATTTAGTTTCTGCATAGTCAATAGAGATGACCTATTAACTATGGTTTCTGCTTTTAGAAATGTCAGCGTTATCACACACTAGTCAAAWGACGGTCATCTTTAAACGGCTTTTATTACAAGAAGTTTAGGTCATGRTCAGTGTGCAGTATAACGGGAGTTGAAATACCTACCAACTGCGTTTAAAGCTTTCTGTAAATGTTCCTCTCGATCCCAGTCTAGATAAACTCTTGCCATAAGGCGCAGTGTAACTGCCTTGAAAATACAACCATAATTATTTAGTCTCAATTTCTAAGGCTGTAATAAACATCGGAGGTTTCTAGAAATAAATCTTATTTAACTCGCTAGCTCAAGCTGAAAGAGTAAGTTATGGAACTTCTTTTTATTCAACTGTGTTTCATGGCAATCGAGCTATTCGGATCAAAAAGGCGCGGCCGGCAGCTTATCGTTCCAATAACTCACTTCAATTTATCTTTGTATAATTTATAAGTGAATGTTTTACAGCTCTGACAAGTACCTGTTTTTTGTTCCCAACTGGTTTCTTGCCCTTGCCCAACTCATAGCTCTCCCTGTGAGAATTTTCCAGAGTAAGTAAAAATGATCGCAAAGAACACTTCTTTCGAAAGAGAGGGAGGAGGTGCATGTTCACCGTAATACTATAAAAAGTGATACATAATAGAGCGGATTTCGTATGAGTGGGACACCGTTACCGCACGGTTACCGCACAGTTACCRCACCTGGCCTGCAGAATTTTGGTGAAACAATGGGGCACTAGAATTTGGTTACAGTACGATTACGGACACAGTACAGTACCGTCCGTATACCACTCATACGAAATCCGCTCTAAGGTCAAAAAGTAATTGCATTGAGAAGAACATTATGAAATGAAATGTTTTGCTATTTAATATCTTGCATATGGAAAACGCTATCGGCAAATTCTTTTATTAGTCTTTATTGATGACCTCAGTACAATTGRTACTTACTTTAGCCATTCTATAGCGTCTGCATACTCTTTATTGTGGTAACAACTGACCCCAAAATTATAGCCGAGTATGGATARCCTGGCATTCTGTATAAGAAAGGACAGCTCAAAACAAGTGACTTTTTCGAGCAATACAYCTAATATTCCTAGAACTAYTATCTGCACATACTGCGCAAATCCAGTTTTGAGTTTATCTCGACGATATGGTAAGAATAATTAAATGAAAGCTTACCTCTTTTGGAAGGYGTTGAAGCATATCTTTTGCCTTTTCGAAGTACGAATGGGTTTTATCATTCTGCGACATGTGAAAAGCCTGAAATGGTATAAATAGATTCACAAAATATACTGTRTACAAGTGAAATACTTGATGATTGTTCGGTGATTTCAAGTGTGTAGAATATCTGGTCTATCAAAATGTTTTCTCTCGGTAATTATAATTGTATGAGGAAGTGGCTGATCCCATTAAAGAGTGCTCAATACACATAAAGCTAGTTATATATATGATATCAAAGAGGCAAGATTTTGCTGAAACTCCGAGTTTCGTGCTACGCACTCATCAGACATCAGACATCTCGGTAATTATGGATTTCATTTTGATGTGAGCACCAAAAGTAATATTTTAGCATTTTTGTAAAAAAAAGAGTTAATTATTTATTTATTTTTGAACCTAAAAGGTTTTCCGGAGCACGTGCARCCTATAATGCGGTTTATTGATATAGATGAAATCTAACGCGCGCTCTGGTTGGCCAGAAGAGTGTGGTTTATGAGAGTATAAACCACGGCTGAGCCTTATTTATTTGTTAATTAACGAATTCAATCCTTGCACTCTGGATCAGTCAAGATACATTCTTTTGCAGGGAAAAAAATGTAACAAAACTTAAAACTTAATGTATATCACGCAACAGCAACATTTGGTCACCGCTTCAGTTCGATAGCACTGGACGCTGAACATGTACTGTTCGCTTTCAGCTCGATGTCTCTCCTGGTCATGCGATAAAAGACGGTCTGTTCTCGTGGACCAAAAATCCTGAAGACTTGCCCAACACTACAAATGAATGATACGCAATCAGAGAATAAAAATTTTATGTAGAACAGCATCTTACTAAAAAGATTAAAAATAAAAATATAAACATTAGAACTAACAAAGTTATCATTGCAAAATATATAAAACAGCACGAGCTAAAAACTCCTATGTTGAATGAAAAAGAATTTGAAATATGACACAAAAAAATTTGACAGTGTAAAAAAAATATAGAAAAAAGGATAAGCAAACACATATTAAATGCAAACCTCTGAATAAGCAAAATATTAAAATAAAATAAAAACATAAAYAAWGAAATCAGATTACAGGGCCAAATAACAGTTTAAATGTCAGACTACCTCAGTTGCAAGTTGAAGGGAATTGTCAGCCATTGCATAATCATCACATTCTATAAATAAGATGTATTAATTCAGTATCATAGCTGAGATTAAAATATACAAAATATAAATAAAACCTGGGTKTGCCTTGGAAGTTAGAGCGCATTGATGCTTTTGTAGATTATGCTTACCGCAACGAAGAGCTCCCTTACTTAGGATACACTACTCTTATTAATTTTAAGCTATTAGAATAATTTGCCTACCTCCTATGTATCTATATATGTGCCTGACTGTGCAACATAAATGTGCATGACTGCATGACTACTATCTAAAACTTACCAAGCCAAGCCTTACCAGTCTTTGCTGCCATCTAAGAAAAAAAATGCACATCACAACAGAATATTGCCCATTAWTATTTTTTATGAAAAAAGGAGCTGGGGTGCCTGATGAAGTATTCTGAATTAACATGAATATTGCATAAATTAAAACATACTGATTTGARATTCAAACTTACAACAATATTAAACTGTTTGTTTGTTTCTTAATTTAATATTGATAACTAACTTATCTCATCAGATACTTTCCTTTCTTAGAAAATTTCTAATTTCTAATTATTCTAAATCATATATATGCCTGACGCTAGAAGGTGAGGTAGCAGTAGTTGAGTTTGAGATCCTAAAAAGTATGTGATCCAGCTGCCAAAGCTTTACCACTAGYTGTTTTCTGTAAGTATGTTCTGTGGCTTCAAATGCATTGGCCAGAAATGATAGGTTACAGGCGGCATGTCTCACTAAAAGGACAAAAGCAAAGTCAGATTACTATATTTATCTCATTTTTTCCTTCTTTTCTTTTTTTTCCCTTTTTTTCATTTCTTTTTCTAATTAGGAGTGCGTAGATGGTATGTCATATCAGCTTCCCCTCTCACAAGGAATGTTTTGTTTTAATATTCAAATTGCTCAAAAATAAGAAATGAAGAATGAAAAAAAGCTAGTAAATTAAAATAATTTCAATAATTAACTTAAAAGTTATTGAAAACAATACAACATAATATAGGCTTACATCTAGCATTAACTAATTTGCTGTTTTTTCCTGAAGACTTMATTGAAACTGCAAGGTTCCACAKCRTTACAGCACATGTATGAATCTGGATAAGAGTAGAGTTGTGTTGCTTTCTATCAAACTTSAAAGAATTTATATTCTCTACAAGACAGGTTATGCGGTCTGCTAAGTCCGAGCATCTAGAAGAATTCTGCTGACTTTGGTCTAGGTCTTTCACATGAGCTAGTAGGAAGCCAAATAAGTTTAGCTTATATATGAAATGGAATCGATCTTTCTCATTTTCTTACATCTTCTCACCTTGAAGTGCTTTGACAGCCTTTGCTATTTCTTCGCTGCCGTTTTCTTCTAGCTCCATTTTTRCTTAATACAGTGTTCGCTGCTGCTTATTTTTCTATGCTATTAAAATAACAATGAATATAGAAAAAACATRAAAACGTGGGATTTTAGGCTTATTAAGTAAGTTAAAAGCAAGAACTTCTTAACTTACTATTTTAMTCGACTGAAATTTATAACTTTTTCTTCTTTCTCACCTGTAAAGCGCTTGCACCGAAATAAAACCCTCCGACTTGATACAAGTAAATTTATCTTCAATTATTAAAATATCTACCTGCATAACTGTACATAAGCAATTTGCAACAAAATGGACAAAATGGTCAAAAATGCCTCCCCATATCAATGTTGTTGTGAAGCGCGCTCGCGCGCCCTTTTCCCGCCATTTCTCCCGGAAGTGAAAATGTCAAAATWATAAAGCCRCTGTACTACGAAAAAAGTTTCATTTCAGCACGCTAGGATAGGAAAACTGGTAATATTTAAGAAGTACCTTGTACGCTATTAAAAAACTTCAACCGAATCCCGTAGTTGTTTCTGTGGTATTGTTGACCGGAAGTTACAATTTGTTTACGCGGGAAAGAGACGGTATGATTCTTGGCGATTGGACGCGCGCGCGTTTAGAAAGTTAAGCTTGAATAAGAGAAGTAACCGATTTATCAAAAATGTCTGATTGTAAACTGACTTTTCTTGACCTTTCTTAAACGCCATCTAAAATGAAAAGGTATGGAGATAATTGTTGTTCCCTTAAACGTGCGCGAGGCGGTTTTATCGAGCAAATTCTGAAATAAATGTACACGAAAGCACGTCTTGATTTTAGCTAAATGAAAGCTAAGATGATAGCAAAACTTTCGATCCCAAAATCTAAAATAAGCTGAACTTTAACTAACCTTACCTAACTGTTTTTTTGTTTTTTTTTCAGAAAAATGGCTGCAAATAAAATTGCCGATACTTAATCAAGAAAACTGTCCGATGGTTATCACATGAGCATTTAAGTTAGTGTTTGCTCTAAGCTTGTTGATAAAAAATGGATAATTTAGAAGCAATGGAGACACCTATTCAAGAATTCTACAACAATGACAATTCGGACAAGAATTATGATCAAAGTCAGTGCAATTATGATCACAACTCCGAACAAACTTCTGAAGAATTACGTGCAGGGTAAGTTAAGTAAGTTTTTAAGTTTATCTTAAATAATGCGAGTGATTTTGATTTTTTTTTTTTTTTACTTACAATTAACTATTAATATGCGTTTATAAAATTTAAACCGAACTCTGATGGTATATGTTTTATGTCTTCGTCAASTTATATTTTGTGAGGAAGGTGAAGGGAGKAACTAATATGCAGAMCCCAAAAATATTTTGCAGGAAGGCATACCACCACCCAACCCACCTTCCACCACCGATTGGAATAGATTAACTCAATGTCTAAAAATATTGAATTTAAATGGTTCTCTCAYCAGCAGCTATTTAGATGAATTCTACAATTTTCCAGATGCCAACACATTTATCCAACAATTTCTTCAGGATGCAGACATGCCAGTCCAGTCTGATGACATTCAACCTACTGAAGCAGTATTTCAACAACTTGGTAAAGTTTTTTTTTTATCTATCAATGTATAAATCAATTCATTCATTTTGACGATCTGMTCTCTCAAAACTTCCTAATTGACAGATTGATCTTCAATCATGTATAAAGCATACTCTAATTATRATTATCTTGTTTAATGTATCACTTTTATTATAATTAATCATTAATTTAAACTGGTTTCATTTTCAGATATTATGGTCAGAGAACAAGTGGATTCTGAGATTGAAGTTTTTAAAGAAAATATCAACAAAATATTAAATGATCAACAGCTATATTTCAAACAAGCATTTGGTTTACAAGATTGCATTGTAGCTAATGAGGTAAATTTTTATCTTGCAATAGTTCAATTAATTAGCTAGATATAGTGTACTGCATTTCACTGTGTGCTGACTGTGTGCTCAGATCTTGAAGGATGGGTATCAAGCAGCTAAGTTACAGTTTTTGTGTTTTGTTTTGTTTTTTGCTTGTCTTTGTCCAGGTTGTTTGTTTGATCGATGTTGTTGTTGTCATTTGTTTTGTTTTGTTTTTGCTTTTTTTTTTATTTATTTGTTGTTGTTTTTTTTGGAGGGGAGGGGGGTGGAGAAGAGCAAAATGGGCAGCAGTTATATTTGGTTATGTGCAGTTCAAATGGCAGAATGTTTGCATAGCTATATGCCAATTAATTAGTAGTATTCCCACGACTTTGTCAGTGCCGTCGACTTCTCGGAATACACGCAAAGGGCAATATTTTGTGCTATTTAGTGTCATCTTTCAAATTCTCAGCCTTACAATTATCACATATCTTCACAATACTTTATTGCATAACAATGTACCATTATATTGTTATAAGCCAATGCACGTTGTACCAAGTTCAGGACACGAAGAAGAAATAGTATCAGGTAAGTAAAAACCTTAAAATATAAATGTACAGGAAAAAAGTGAAAGATGTTACTGACACTACTATAAAAGCCATATTTATACAAAGTTACAAAAATAGAAATCACTTTCTGTACATTAGTGTGGTAGTAGAAATGTACAAGTAGTCATATCATCTACATCCCCTTTTCTCAGATTGATTTCCTCTGAAGGGGGGGGGGGGGGTGCCTCACGACTCTCAATACTTTTATCCTATCCCAGACCATTTTTTTTTTTTACATACCCAGCTACCCCAAACTAAAGGTACAATGGTACATTATTTTAGCGCTGTAGACCCCTACAACACTGATTTCTGATCTCTGTATTGCCTTGATCAAAAAATCGACAGTTTTTCTTTGCTTTTTGTCTTTGTTTTATTTGTGCAGTTTAGTATATTTAAGACATCTTAGTAGTTCATATAAACGTAAAATATTGATAGAAGCAGCTTCTTAAACAGTAATTAATCGTTTTCACCCATTATCATGGAGATTCAAAAAAGATAAAAGACCGTCAGTCATGTCGGGAATGAAAAATAGATACTAATGAAAAAATCCTTTGTAAAAGTCCCTAGGGTTACGTAACCTGAAAAGGAAGAATAGTCTATTCGATTAGTAGAGTACAAACACTAAAACTGTGCAACATAAATACCACTAAATACTGCTAAATTATGCTAATTCCATTGTTTTCTATTGTTAAATTAACACTATTTTGTAGTAAATAGTGGAAAGTAATGTTTGTACTCTATTACTTAGTCATTAGTACAACTAGAGTGCTTGCACTTAAAGCGTGAAATAAATAGTACTAATTACTACTAAATAGTGTTGATTATACAATAGGAAACAAAGGAATTCGTATAATTTATCACCTATTTTGTAGTATTTATATTTCACGCATTTAGTGCGAGCACTCTACCACTTTTTTTGTAATGTAATTATAGTCCCAATAGCAGACTTTAGATATCATGGCTCTGTGGACATGCAGAAAGAGAATCGTAGAAAAGAATTCATTAACATCATCGGTAGTTTCCCTAGCTCGATCCTCAACTGTAAATGGTCACTCAAAAAACTTATTTTACTATTCTCCAAAGGTTTTAAAATTCTGATTTTTTTTTTCTTTTTCGATATCAGTTTCAGATGATTCTCGCAATACTGTCGACCAAACAGATTCAGGCGACAGCGNATATTTGGTTATGTACAGTTCAAATGGCAGAATGTTTGCATAGCTATGCCAATTAATCTTTCATAGACACAGCCTTACAATTATCACACATCTTCAATAGACAATTCTTTATGACATAACAATGTGCCATTAAATTGTTATAAGGCAATGCATGTTGTACCAGGTTCAGGACATGAAGAAGAAATAGTATCAGGTAAGTAAAAATCTGAATGGTGCCTCTGACACTACTATCAAAGTCATACTTATACAAAGTTGCAAAAATAGAAATCACTTTCCTGTACATTTTTAGTGTAGTAGAGATGTAAAGTAGTTATATCATGTACATCCCCATTTCTCTGAGTGGTTTCCTCCAGGTGGAGCAAAAACCCTTACCCTATCCCAGACCATTTTTTTATTTCACATACCCTACCCCAGGCTTAAGGTACAATGGTACATTATTTTAGCGCTGTAGACCCCACAAAACTGAGATTTCTAATCTCTGTACTACTGTCTTGATAACAAAATCGCCGGTTTTTCTTTGCTTTTCGTTTTTGTTTTATTTGTGCAGTTTAGTATATTTAAGACATCATAGTAGTTCATATAAACATAAAATATTGATAGGAGCAGCGTCTTAAACAGTAATTAACCTTTTTCACTCATTAGACTATCATGGAGATTCAAAAGATAAAAGACCGACAGTCATTTCGGGAATGAAAAATAGATACTAATGAAAAAATCCTTTGTAAAAGTCCCTAGGGTTACGTAACCTGAAAAGGAAGAATAGTCTATTCGATTAGCAGAGTACAAACACTTAAGAGCCGCTTCGCGCAAAAACCAGACAAAACTGAAAGATGAGCTTTTCAAATACATAAAAATTAGTCTGGGCAAATCACTCCCAGTTGCATAGAAATGAATACTTCTGGCGATAATAATCCGTTGAAACACCAAATGTTTTAAACAACCGAAATTCATTTACATTGCCTAAAATGTTCAAAGAAAATATGCTTAACCCTTTTTATTTCAATAACATAAGTTAAATGTTGATTAGATGTTTATATCCTTTGAAAATTGTTGGGTTAATACAACTGACAAAATATGTGTTTACGCTGATAATTTTGACTGGAATAAGTCATTCCTACGCACCTGAAAGTGATTTGCCCAGATTTATTACTATTTTTTTGTAAAGCTCATCCCTTGCTTAGTTATCACGCCGAATTTCATTGCAAACAAAATACTTGCACATATAAAAAATAATCTTTTTTTCTAGGTGCTAATTTGCATATACAACTACATATGCAAACACTTAGAGTTCTAGAAAATTTTCGTTTTAATTAAATGCTCTGAAAATCAACGAAATAAATAAGAAAGAGTTAATTAGAAAGCCACAATTTAAATTTTTGAAATTACTATTTTACATTTCACACAAGCTCGGTAGAAATTTTGGCTATTTCGAGTGCTATTTTTAGCCACCAAAAATTTAATGTTTAGCGATTTTCTTGCGAAAAATGAAATATTTTCAAAAACCAATTACACAGCGATTGTTACCTAATCATACCTTATCAATAATGAATAGAATTGATTTTTCGAGCCTTGCCAAGATATGTCTGATTTTTGCGCGAAGTGGCTCTTAAAACTGTGCAACATAAATACCACTAAATACTGCTAAATTATGCTAATTCCATTGTTTTCTATTGTTTAATTAACACTATTTTGTAGTAAATAGTGGAAAGTATTGCACACATTTAATGTTTGTACTCTATTAAGAGTCATTAGTACAACTACCACTTTTTTTGTAATATAATTATAGTCCCAATAGCAGACTTTASATATCATGGCTCTGTGGACATGCAGAAAGAGAATCGTAGAAAAGAATTCATTAACATCATCGGTAGTTTCCCTAGCTCGATCCTCAACTGTAATTGGTCACTCAAAAAAGTTGTTTTACTATTCTCCAAAGGTTTTAAAATTCTGATTTTTTTTTTCTTTTTCGATATCAGTTTCAGATGATTCTCGCAATACTGTTGACCAAACAGATTCAGGCGACAGCGATGAGTTTGTTGACAGGCTACAATGGTAAAAATCCAGCAGTAATGTAGAATACCAGTAAATGCATGTACCTGCGTAATGAATTTCCAATCTCCAGGAGCGTCCAAGATGTGTATGATGCGTGGGTTTGGTCACAGTGTTTTGTTTACATTTCGCGCCTTTTTTTCTGTGGGCAACCAAAATAAGATAATAAACAAGCGTGCCGGATGAAAGTGAAAGCGAAATGTCTTTTAGTCTTTCTGAAGAAAGCGACAGTAAATAGACAACTTCCTAAAGAGACGAAGGAAGAGAAATCTAAAAATACTAGGCACGTCTTTGAAAACGCCGTGCCACATTTCCTGAATAAGTGCATGGGCGCTCCTAGACATAAGCTCCTGTTTTTCGTTGTACCATGATAACCTGGGTGATGATGGGTAATTACCAGAAAGCACTGATTCTTATATTACCCTTGACCCCCGCTTTGAACTCATATCACTCTCATCGTGCTCTCGACACGCGTTGCATCAGTTCTTCACGGTTCATTTGCCCACCCTCACCACCCACGTTATCGTTCTCTCTAGTTTATTTCCACCATCCAGGTTTTAACCGAGCTATTCGTGCTCCCCAGTGTCAATAAACTATTGTGCCCAAAACCTCGTAGTCTGTGTGTTTGATGTTAGTAATTTATTGACCCTTTGTTATCCACATTGTTGTTTTTTTTGTGCTGACAGTTAATATGTCCCTGAGTGCTCGTTATTTTTCCAAATTGATTAAATTGTAACCACTGTAACTAACCTCTAGTTGTTTAGTTTTTTGGTAGTTCTGTTATTGTTGTTTGTTTGTTTATTTATTATGATACTTTTGTAGTCGTATATTTTGCTGTTGCTGTGTTAATTGCTTGCAGGTTTTAAAACTTTAAAACTTTAAAACTTTTGAATATATGTTTTATGTGTGTGATTATTTGCTCGGAAAGACTTTTCGTCTCATTGTAATTAATCATTTGACATTTCCGATGTCTCAGAAAGAATAATCCACATTGAATTCTAGAATTCCTTGCTAATGCGATCTTAATATTTGTAGGTATGAGAGAATCGTGGAAACTATACCAGAGAATGAATCAGTACTGAAGTGTTTGGTGAGAATGTTAGTCGCTGATGCAGCCATTACTGCTGCTTTGAAACGGAAGGAGTATGCATCTTAAATCGCCAATCAGCATCAGCCGCTATGCCATAATGTAACGCTCCTTCGGTTGAAACAAAGATGCTGATATATATCCTATCGCTATTTCCAAAGAAACTTTTCACAATGACAATTATTCGTATAAATATAAATCTAGACTGCACAGAAAAATCATRTCAAATGTATTGAAATTTTAAGAATCCATCAGTTATTTTCTTATAAAAAGAATGAGATTAATTTATTTAGCGGTTTTTCTTCCGTGATCATTTTATGTGAGAAATGACTTTTTGTATCAAAGATCACAGAATATTTTTTTTCATTCATTGTTATTCAAAGTATTTTAAGAAGGTATGGATGCCACACTCCGACCGGAATGTTAGTACTCTGCATCCCGACTGAATATTTCRGCACGGTGGGTGGGTCRCGTTCCTCGTTTCTGGCCTTATTTTCAACGAATAATGCAGGGACCTCGTGATTTTAACTTATRTGGCCATCGCAACCAATTAAAATCATCCCTTACCGCCAGATGACATTTTCCCTTGCAATATGTTTTAAGTAACGCCYCGAGTAAGAACTAGGGAAGCAAACGGCAAAGGAATGCAAGAAGGTGCTAATTGTGMATTGTATAATYCATCCATCCCATTGGTTAAAACATGAAAWTCTGCTRTAATTTTACAAGTTAGCGCAATTTCTAATATTTTGTTTGATGTCTGTTTTCACTTTCTTAATTTTGTAGATAAGTACAAAAATGCGTGGGTCATTGAGTTAAAATAATGTGATACCWTTCGAAGGATGTACAAAAATGATASAAAGACGTTAAAGTAAACATGTTACCTTTTTCCGGGTTCGTGCTACTCCTTRAAATCCTTGAAAACACCTAAAATTGGAAACTCGTATTCAAGGGCGCTTGAAAAGTCCTTGAAAATAGGGAAAATCGATAAAMCTCCTTAGCTTTCTGATTGAAATGTTGCTATTTTTGAAAAACGTYCGCAAACATCAAAAAATATCTTCAAAATTAGTCCTTAATAATCGCATCTTTGTGCATAAAAAGTACTTGAAAAGTCCAGAAATTTATGAATTGTATAACACGAACCATTTTTAAACCACTTTTATCCAAAAGGTAACACGCTGACAAGCACTTCTGTGAGGAAAGAATTGAGTTGTATTTTCTAAATTATAGACATTTTAAAAATTGAARATGCCAATGAAGTGACATCAACTAATGAATAGCCGAATTTTGCCTCAATAGTCACACAGAATGGAATCAAGACGAGTCGCCGTGTATAAAGCGCATTCATTCGTGAAAAGACAATGGTCATTCACAATTGACTGAGCTTTATGCACGGCGCCTCGTCTTGATTCTTTTGTGTTTGACTATTGAGGCGAAATTCGCAAGTCGGTATTGGTCCAGACTTTTACATTGCTTGTGTTACTATTGTTCTTAATTGAAGAGCTCAAATCACCAATCATAGTTATAATTGATATTGAAAATGCTTTTTCCAATGTATCAATAGAATAACGTCCTCTTTGATTCATGATTTCGTATATTAAATCATTCCTTAGTAGACGTCAATTCATTCAGTGCATTTTCTATAAGTTTAAATTTCCTATAACTAAGAAAATTCAATTTAAAACCAATTCTTTTCTTTACATACTTAGCGCATTATCTCTTTTTGATGAGAATAAATTTCTAATGGTGTCATGTGCACTTTAAGGTSTCCTGCTCACTAAGAAGAGCACGTAGTAGGACAAATTTTTTGCACTTGTCCGTGGAAAGTCGAGGCCATAATCCTTTGCCAGGAAATAAGTTCCCCTGGTTTAGACTTCGTGGCAGATTGACAGTTGTATGCGTATATTTCA